CTGAATTATTTTTTTTTGTTCTTTCCCCATTTCCCACCCCCTCTTCTCTCCCAGGACTCCCAGTGGACTGCCAACAGCTCTTCCTAGAAGGGGAGAGGAGCAGTGGGGTGTTCCAGATCCAGCCTCCTGGGGCCCAGCCTTTCAAAGTCCACTGTGACATGACTGCAGGTAAAAGGAAGGCAATGCCATTTAGAGCTTTAGAGCATGGCCTTGCAAACAGCAGCATTGAAATAACTGAACAATCTCTTTCAACCCCAGAAGGCGGCTGGACAGTGATCCAGAGGCGTGTGGATGGCTCTGTGGATTTTGACCAGCTTTGGGAAGCCTACAAAAATGGTTTTGGAGATCTTAATGGTAGGTAGATGGAAGGCTTTTGTTCTGTTTCTATTCTAAGTCTTTGTCATATATTCAGGACAAATTCTTTCCACACCAATGACTCCCCTCCCTCAAGACTCTCCAGAGGTCTCCCCCATAATACAGGGCTGAACTGGTAGGCTCAGCTGGCTTGAAGGGGGTTCCTGATCCTTCTAGGCACTCTGCATACCAGAAAGCAGTGTAGTTTGGAGAGCTCCTAATGTGATTTGTATTCTGGATCAACCTACTCGGGGTCACCCCTGGCTTTGAAACACCATGACACTACATGCTAGTATCTCATGGTTTATATTGTGGATGTGATGACAAAACTAATACGAAGTTCTGTGCATTTCAGGTGACTTCTGGCTGGGCCTGGAGAAAATATATTGCATTGTCCAAAACAGAAGATACAATCTCTTGATCGAACTGGAAGACTGGGAAGGAGAAAAGCAGCTCATTCAATTCCTCTTTAGCCTTGGAGAGGAGAACACAGCCTACACACTCAGCCTCCTTGGACCTGTGTCTGGAGAGCTAGAAAATGCTGTTGGGGACTTTAGACAGTTGCCATTTTCCACACGGGATCAGGACCATGATCTCAAAGCAGACACAAACTGTGCCAAGCACCTATCAGGTCAGTACTGGCAAAGGGAAGCTGCTTACCTGAGTAAGAGCTTGGTTTCCGTCTAAACCTGGGAAGGCAGATGATGCAATCTTCTGTCTGCCCTCGCAGCTGTCTGGACCCCAGTTCTGGCTGCAGAGTTGCAATATGGAGATTAGGCCTGTGCAAAGCAGCTAGTATTTGCTTTGGATTTGGGTGACGGGTGATTCGAATCACTGGACCGAATTGATTCGGCTAAATCTGATTTGGAGTTTCGGCTGCTGCTGAATCACCCAGGCCCATCCCCTGCCCACCCCAGCTCCCAGCACTTGGGAGAGGCGGGGAGCCCTGACTCACCGGGTGCTGCTGGGGGAGGGGGAGAAGGGGGCACAATCCCCACTACCCCACACTGCATGGGGGGGGGCTCTGCATGAGCCCCCCCACCTGCTGTGGTTCTGGCCCTTTTAAGAAAAAGAAACCTGAGGAAAAACCCCCGGACTCACTGTTCCTGCTGGTGGGGGGGGCAATTCCATGCTGCCCTGCACCACATGGGGGGGGCTCTTCCATGAGCCCTCCGGACCCCCAAGGCCACTGCAGTAGCGGTGAGTCCTGGGGCTCTTCTCCCTTTTTTTTAGTTTTTTTCTTAAAGGGCTGGAGCTGCAGCGGGCTGGGGCAGCCGTGGGGGCGTGGAATGAGGCAGTGGCAGGGGGAGGAGTCGGGGGGCGTGGCTTGTGGCAGAGCCCCCCCCCACGCAGTGTGGGGCAGCAGGGATCACCCTCCACCTGGCAGCACCTGGTGAGCAGGACTTTTTTTAAGCACCGGGAGCTGGGCAGGCTGGGGGAGCGGGCAGGGGATGGGGGCTGGCATGGGTCCCCACATGGTCCCCCTCCCCCGCCCCTGGTACTTACCAGCTCCGAGTCTGGCTGCAGCTCCCTACTGCTGCTACTGGGGACTGCCCAAATGATCGGAGCTCTCCAAATCTTTTTCCGGAGTTTCAGAGAGCTTTGAATCAATTCGGACCTTTTAATTGGTCCCCTGATTCAATTCGGATTCGGAGATTTGGCCACCGAATCTAATCGCCACCCAAAGCTTTGCACAGCCCTAGTGGAGATAGGCAGGTTCCAAACAGCTGGAGCACATGGAACTGAAGGTACAACTGATTCTGGCTCTTGTTCCCTGCTTCAGGGTCCTCCAAAGAATGCATATGTAAAAAGAAAAACCCTGCTGAAAACGGGTGAAGTTTTTGTAGTCTCAGTGTTGTTACAAACATAGGACCTGGTCCAGCTTTCCTGATTTGTCTCCTTACTGCTTAGAAACCCTTCAAGTGATGCTGAGGCAAGGTCCATGTCATCATTAAACCTAGCAGAATGCACCCTTTCTGATGGGCTCTGAACACTAAACTGAATCCAGATCAGCACCAAAGCCGCTCTTTTGGGACTCCTTACACTTTTTGGTTCACAGATATAGTTTTGTTAGTGTCATGCCTTCTCCAAGGATAATATAGAAGGTTACATCCAAGTCCTCCCTCTGGATCACCTATTTGGTTGTATATTGCTGTATCTCAGATTTTGAGCTCTCATAGCCAAAGATTGTATGTGGGGTAAGAGAAATCATATTTTTACTAAGTTATTGGATTAGACCTTGTTACTATTACCACCTGCCACAGTCTCCCTCTTTCCAAGAAGTGAGGGTCAAGCTGCTGCCTCTCTGTCTCCATTGTCCAATTACAAAACGGGAAAAACATTTAGCAAATGCCTTTCCCTGCTGCTCAGGTGCATTATCCCAGTGATGCTCAACTTTGGAGACAATAGGAGTTTAAACTGGGATAGAGGGAAGATAAACCATGGAAGTCTGCCTTGCTTCAAGGAGTGAACTTCTGTAGACTTGGGGCTTTTCAGAATACTCTGGACTCCTTAAGACACTTAAAGGGTCTAACTTTCCAAAGCACTGAGAGACCCAACAAGCTGGTGCTTCTGGGGATATCAGGGTGACAGCAACTGCACTGAATCTGAGGTTGACTTTTATCCTGCCCTAAAGAAGTAGGGCTGGAAGGGACCTCCAGAGGTCATCTAGTCCAACCCCCTGCCTGAGGCAGGATCATCCCTATCCAAACCATCACATACAATCATAATCTAAAGTCTACATAAGACTACTGTCAACCCTGACTCAACATAGCCACTGTTTTACCTCTGAAAAATTCCTTTGACTGAAAAATGCTTTTGCATTTCTTTCCTCTTAGGAGGCTGGTGGTTCAGCAGCTGTGGCCATGCCAACCTCAATGGGAAGTACTTCCGTTCCATTCCTCGCCAAAGGCATGAGCGGAAACAGGGAATCTTCTGGAAGACGTGGAAAGGAAGGTATTACCCTCTGAAGTCGACCATCATGAAAATCCAACCCACAGAGCTGGAAGCAGAATCTTAACTTTGCTGCCGCTTAAGACTCGATCAGTCTTATTTTTTGTGGAGCACTGATGGTGAGGCTCCATCTCTTGTGTTTACAGAAAACAAACAACCCCTCCAGCGAGCGTTCGGAGACGTTCCCTCTCACTAACCACCTGTTATCTTGTAGAGACTGTGACATGGAGCAATGCAGTGACTGGCTTTTGTAGGTCAAACAATTTGGGGCTAAAGGCCTGAAAGGATGGGAGCTTCCAGAACTGGGGGGTAGTCCTTGGCAGGGAATAATGCATCTAATGCAGGGGTTAGCAACATTTTTTGGGCTGAATGCCAAAAAACCCCCTGCAACCTGGACTTGGAAGATGTTGGCATGCCAGAGGTGGACAGTGAGGGAGTTGTGAGGGGCCGGATCCTTACTTTGGGGGTGCAGCCCTGGCCGCTTCCCCACTGCGCTCTCCAAGGTGCGCATGGAGCCTCTGCCAGCTACAAGCCGGGCCAGGGCTCCGGACCCCAAAAGAGATGCTCTGAAACAGATGCCCACTCCCTGCCATCCTGTCAATTGAAAGGGCTGGGAGGGAACTTGTGGCAGTACCTTGGCAGCTGCCAGGGCAGCCTGGGTGGCTGGAGGTGCCTTTCCTGGGGGGTTCCCAGCTCAGCAGGGCCATGCAGCACCACCACCCGCTTATGGGGTGTGGGAGCCCACTGCCTCCAGGGCTCTCTGAGGCTCCTGAACTTCCAAGCTGGACCCCACCAGATACCCACAATGGACCCGGCATGGCAGTGGACAGCTGTTGCCAGCTTCCCTTTCCTCAGCCGCGTCCCATTTTCCCAGCAGCTTCTGGGAAATCGCTTCACTCTGGGCACCAGGAGAGCTCTGGGTTGGGCAGCCGGGATAAAACAGGTGTGGGCAGGCGCAGCAGCTGGGCAAGGAGTGCCAGGGGGCATGGCGGGTGATGGGGAGTGCAGTAGCATGCAGCCCAGGCTCGGGGTGGGGGGTAGTCTGGGTGGGGCAGACACTTACCATAGGACATAGTACATAGGGGCAGGCAGGGGGTGCGCTGCATGCAGCCTCCCACTCACGTCTGCAGCTGCTGCTAGCCTATAGCTCCCTCCCACGGGGCAGTCGGGTTGCACATTGCTCTGTGGTGGCAGGGTCAGGGCAGGCAAGTGCTTCAGCAACTGCTCGCAGAAGGGCTCATTGTCAGGGGCACAGAACCACAACTACTGGCCCCTAGCCTGGCTCGGCAGTCCCTGGTCCTTTCCATGGGGCTCCTGGCCATCTGTGCCACTTGCTCTGGCTTCCAGCCTGAGCAGGGGTGCAGGTGGTGCCATGGCTCAGCCTCTGGCCCCAGGGGTGGTAGATGTGGAGGGAGTTGGCTCCACCGCCTCTGCAGCTCAGGGAGTCTGTGGCTTGGCCCGACGCAGCCCCAGGCCGCTCTCCCTACACCCCCCCACCTCTAGGTGCTACCAGCATGGGCTGCTGTTGTGGCAGGTCCCTGTCTCTGCTAAATGGAGGAGGAAAAGGGTAGGATCGGAGATGCCTCCCAGCTGCCTGCCACAGGCAGCCTGTGCTCTGGGCAGCTGCTACTTGCCATAGAGCCTGGGCTGCTCACAGCAGGGCTGCCAGCCTTCCTGCCACCTGCTGCAAGCAGCCTGGGCTCCATGGCTACTGGCTGCTCCCCAGAGCCTGGGCCAGCTGTGGCTTGCCAAGCAAAATGGCCTCATGTGCCATGCTCTGGCACACGTGCCAGGCGTTGCCAACCCAATGTAGTGCATGCAACTGAGGTAGAAGTTGCAGACTTCCTACTGTTGCCAGGAGTTAATGATGCGCAGAGCTTTCTGTCCTGTTTGATTAGCTGCATTTGCTCCTACAGCTGGCTTGATGAGCTTACTGTCCCTGCACAGAAGCCAGGAAAAGGTGAGGTGCATGGGGGAGTGTTCTTTCACCTTGATCAAAGCAGTATGGCACGGGGACCCTTGTGGCCCTTATTCCTTTCCTTGCACTGCTACCAGAAACTGAAGATGCATCCATTCTCTCCAGAACAGCTGGGAAGAGATTTTCCTCTCTCCCATACTACCATGCAACTGAGCTGTGGTAGCTGGAGAAGAGGGTAGCACATATGACTCGTATCTGGTATCTCACTTCTAATGACTCCCTGCCCTGCTGTGTAGGGGCCTCCTTTCTGTCAAACATCCCTTCTTCCATTTTCTTCCATAGAGAAGGTTCTCAAGACCCACACTGAGGAAGGGGAGCCCAGGTCACCTAGGTTCTGCACTCTGAAAGGTCATCAGAGACTTAACTAAGTTTGAACATACTTGGGTAGTTGGAGGAAAAAGTGGCATTACTGGGAGAGATGCTATGGCCTGTTGCACAGGAAGTCAGACAAGATCATAGAAGTTCCTTCTGGCTTTGGTCTAGGACCAGTGAACTCCATCTGGAGCCCATTGCTACTGCTCTGAGATGCCTAGAGTGCCTTGGAGCACAGAATGCCCTTGATGCCCCCTGGGGCAAGGGACCAATCCTGCCTCTCCAACCTGAATCCTCGGACTGGGATATACTGGCCTAATAACCTTAATCCCGATTTTTTTTTTTTTTCCTTAGAAGGCTCCCGAATCCCTTTGTGTAAAGAGGATACTGTTGCCCTGCTGTAACCTGTAAGCAGTTTGCTCTAGAAAGCAAGAGAGAGTAGGGTTCCCTCAGGTGGCAGAACCAGCAAGGAGAGTAGCATTAGTCTCAACAAGTGTATCCCATAAATACTGCAAATGTTTCCAGTATTTTTATATTGAAATTTGGGGACATGTTTTAAAGAAAGGGTACAGGAAGGTTGCCTAATCTCTGGTGACCACAGGTAAAACCATAATTATTGAAAAGCTGTTACAGGCCAAGTTTCCATCTTGGGAGTTCCCAAGCATCCAGCCCTATTTAAGTCATATTGACTGACTCTTGCTAGAGCTCTTTAGCTGCTGAATATTGTAAATAGTGGTTTGTAGAATGCTGGATCTTTTTAATGAATTTGCTGTTTAATTTGTTTCTATATTTAAATGCAGTGTTTAATAAAAATGTGGTGTAATTTATAAATGTTGACTTTGGAAAAACAGTAGTAGTTTGTGTATTTTCCACTTTTTGTACTAAAAATCTGACTTTTTCTGAATAAAAACAAACCTGTACATATTCCAGGGATTCTATGTGAAATTATTTTTATTATTTTTAATGAAGGCTAATTAAAAGTAGCTGGAGCTGTCTGGCATACTGCTAAGCAAGAGACTCTTATTACTCCAGGAGACTCTAGAAAAGAGACTCTGATTACTATAGGATGTGTTAGATCCTCTGTTATTTGGGGTATCGGATCTCTAATCTCTGTTTAATAAGAGATCTAGATGACCTGCTCCACAGCAGACACTGCTATTAAAGCATACAACAATGCATGCATTCTGAGTGAATTGTATCACTCGAACAGAATGCACCCAAGAGTGCTAAAGGAATTGGCTGGCGTATGGCGAGGATATTCAAGAACTTGTGGCAATCGGGCAAAGTGCCTAACAATTGGAAGAGGGCCAATGTGGTACCTCTCTTCAAGAAAGGGAAGAAGGAAGATCCAGGGAACTACAGGCCAATCAGTTTGACCTCAATTCCTGGAAAGATCTTGGAGAAATTCATCAAGGAAACCATTAACAACAGGCTAACATAAGGTAATGTTCTGAGAGAGAGCCAACGCAGTTTCGTTGCAGGTAGGTCTTGTCTGACCAATCTCATTTCCTTCTATGACTGGGTGATGCATCACCTGAACAAAGGCAACGAGGAAGATATCATGTTTTTGGACTTCAAGAAAGCCTTTGACCTGGTGTCCCATGATGTCCTCATGGAAAGATTTGGGAATTGCAGCCTCAACAATTTCACGGTCCGATGGCTGGGGAACTGGCTCCGTGGATGGACCCAGAGAGTGATAATGGATAGAACCAAGTCAACGTGGCACACGGTGACTAGTAGCGTCCCCCAGGGCTCTGTTCTTGGACCTGAACTCTTCAATGCATTTATAAACAATCTGGACTGGCTAAGTTCACTGACGACACCAAGCTATGGGAAAGTGTGGTCACCCTAGAGAATAGGCTGGCAATCCAGGCTGATCTCGACAGGCTTACAAGGTGGTCGGATCAAAACCTGATGGTATTCAACACAGAGAAATGCAAGGTGCTCCACCTCCAGGAGAAAAAACCCACACCACACTTTTAGGCTTGGCAATGCTACACTCGCTAGCACCACGACTGAAAGGGACTTGGGGGTCATGATTGCCCACAAGATGAACATGAGCCACCAATGTGATGCCACAGCCAGCAAAGCAAACAAAACCCTGGCTTGCATCTACCGATGCATCTCAAGCAAGGCCCAGGAAGTCATCCTCCCACTTTACTTGGCCTTGGTGAGACCACAGCTGGAATACTGTGTCCAGTTCTGGGCTTCATAATTCAAGAAGGATGTGGAGAAGCTCAAGAGAGTCCAGAGAAGAGCCACACAAATGATTAGAGGACAAGAGAGCAGGCCTTATGAGAACAGGATGAGAGACATGGGACTCTTCAGCCTAGAAAAGCGCAGGCCCAGGGGTGACTTGGTGGCAGCTTATAAGTATATAAGGAGTGTGCATCAGGAACTGGGAGAACATCTGTTCATCAGGGCACCCCAAGGGAAGACAAGATCCAACCGTCACAAACTCCTGGAAGTCAGTTTTAGGCTGGACATAAGGAAAAAATTCTTTACTGTCCGAGTCCCCAGGGCCTGGAATAGACTCCCCCCAGATGTGGTGCAAGCAGCTACTCTGGATACTTTAAAAAAACACTTGAATGCCAACCTTTTTGGGATCATTTGACCCCAGCAAACCTGCCTATGGCAGGGTGGGGGCTGGACCCGATGATCTTGCGAGGTCCCTTCCAGCCCTAATGTCTATGAAATCTATTAAATCACGCATACGTAACTTTAACTGAAAACAGTTATCTAAATAGCCATAAACAAACTAATGAACTAGAGAAATGACAGGCGGCGTCCACACAAACTGAACAGACTTAAGTAAGGTATGAGCAGGAACATCTTTAATCACCATTTGGGAAGATGAGGAATAACTAACAGACACTCCCTCAGCTTGACGAAGAGCACTTGTGCCCTAAAGCTTGCTAAGAAGAATTTTTCCAACAAAACAAAATGGAATTGAGAGCAGAAAGGGAAATGGCAAACACTCCAGTCAACCTTTTATCATGCATCCGTTATCATGAGTTGCAACAAATTAAACAGCTCTTTCCAGTGGGAAAAGAAATTACGTATTTCCAGATGCCTCTGGGATGACTCAAGCTGATAAAGGCAATCTGAGCTTTTAAAGGATTCATCTTGGAAAAAAGGAGTACGTGCATCAGCATCAGTTCTATGCTACAATGCAGTGGGTGACTTACTTCTCTCTCCTACCTGGAGTTTGCAATGTAATTTTCCTCTGCTACTCTGAGGACCCCTTCTTCTTTTGCTTTGAGAGGGGGAAAAAACCTGGAATGAAATAACATCCCCAAATGTTTTTCTTACCAGACCTCAGGATCTCATATAACCCATTACACATGCACAAAATTTAGCCCAAGCTAAACCCTCGTACCAGAGGCCCAATGTGCTGACTTTGGTTCCCTTTCTGTAAGTCCCTAGACCAGGGGTAGGCAACGTTTTTTGGCCGGAGTGCCGAAAAAACCACAACGTCTACCTTGGAAGGTGCTGGAGTGCCGGCATGCCAGAAAAACAAAAGGGGGGTGGTGTACATGGCAGGACACACTGCATGTTTGTATATTTAATAATCATAAATGTTGCCTTCGTTGTGTATTCCTTTTTTGTTGAGCATGTTGCAATGAGAGAGAAAAAAAGAGACGAGAGAAAGAGGAGAGAGAAAAAGGAGAGCAGAGAGAGAACCAGGCATGCGCACACAGAGAACCACGTGGACAAACACAGAGAATCAGAACACACCCAGAACAGATGCATGCACACACACATACAGCACCAGACACGTGTGCACACACAGACGCACAGGACCAGACCGAGGCAGACAAATGCAGAGAACCAGATGTGTGGGCACGGGGAGCTCGGCTCCTGGGCCACTGGACAAAGTCCACTCCGAGGCATGTGTGCACCCGCCAGTACGGAGCTAATGTCGGAGCCCAGAACAGATATTTGTAGCTTCCCGGCTACAGCCAGCCCAGGCTCTGGGTAGCTGCTGCCAACCACGGCAGGGCTTGCAGCCGCCCAGCTGCCTTCTGGGACCAGCCCGGGTTTTGTGGCTGGCATCAGCTGCCTAGAGCCCAGACCGGCGGTGGCGTGCCGAGCAAAATGGCCTCTTGTGCCATGCTCGGCACACGTGCCGGGGGTCGCTGACCCTGCCCTAGACAAAGGAGACTGTAACATTTTACAAAAGACTAGAGACATAACACGATCTTCCAGTGCTCAGGGCAGTGGGGGGCGGGAGGGTGAGAATTATGATGAGCACTTGCGGGGTGCGCGGAGGAAGGGAGAAGGAGAGGAGTCCTACCTGCCAGAGCTCTCTCCACGTGAGCAGAAGCTGCTACTGCTCTGTTATAGCAGCACCAGCTCCATGAGCTGCCACTGAGGGACAGGCAGTGGCTCAGGATCCCTGGGGGCTGCCCATAGTGCTCTGTTTGCTCCTACACCGGGCTGTGCATCTTGTGGGAAAGCTTCTGGAGGGGCATCATTTCACCTTCCCCTCCCTCCCCCAATACACTGCTGGGCATGGGGCTCCTCTTGCCTGGCTCCTATGGCTGGACTGGTCCTGCAATGGCAGACTCCTAGGGGGAGGGAGCCATAGTGAGGCCTAGCCAGTTGATCTGATTCCTGGCTGGCTGGACAGTTTAGAGTTGGCAGAACATTCATTTCTGGGTCCTGATCTAGCTAGTCCTCTCATCGCTGCAAAGGATGATACTCTGATGCGCACACAAAGAAAACGATTCTACAAATGAGCAGCGCTACTGCACCTTTCAAGGCACACATCGATCTCCAAAGAAAAACCAGCTTTTAGTAGTCCATTTTTGGAGGAAAGAGGGAGCTGAATCCTGTTGTGAATCAGAATTCCTTTTGAATCTCCAGCTCATACATTTCGCAAGAGATCACTGAATTTTGATTTTTAATCCTCTCAATGCAAATGAAAGATAAAAGAGCTCCCTCTAGTGATAGTAAGTGATAGAACAAAATATACAGCCCCAAAGTCCAGCAAGAGAGGGCAGAGGGGAAAGGTAGCTTGAGCCAGGGACTAGTGAACAGTCAAGAAAAGATGGACTTGGAAAGGTGAGAGTGTCAGGCTCCGAGATGCACAGGCTGGCAAAAGGTATTTGGGATGCCTGGAGCCAATGTCCATACACAGATCAGAGTTGGTGTTTACTGTAGAAGATACCAGGGAAATTCCTATGGTAGATCAGTCCTTTCTAGTAGATGGGTCTGAAGAGTTGGACCACATTGAAGTGACAACAGAGGAAATTTTAGAACAAATTGATACATTAAATACCAGTAAATTACTGGAACTGAATGGCATTCACCCAAAAGTTCTGTAGGACTGCTGGCAATAGCATGTAACCCAGGGGTGGGCAAAATATGACCTGTGGACCAGATCTAGCCCATAGCATGAGTCTACCCAGCCCTCAGCAGGTCCCTTGGTCCCCGCTCCTGGTCCAGGCATGAAGAACAGCTCAGGCTGTGGCGCGTGCATGGAGTGTTTAATGTGTTTGGCCCCAGGCCACTTAGAAATTGGACAACCCTTAGTTGGGTTAAAACCTGGGATATAACAAGTAAGTAATAACTAACAAGGATTTGTGAAGAGCAAGTAATGCTGGACAGGATAACAGACCCTTGTGAACAGGGGAGAAACATTTTGATATGGCCTAGATGGATTTTAGTCCAAACACTAACATCCTGTATGATATCCTCTTAGTACACTAAGGAAATATAGTTTAGAGAAAACTGATGTAAGGTGAGTGTATAATCAGTTGTAAAATTATACTGAAAGGTTGCATCTACATGAGATGTCTGCTGCACAGGTGACTACACACTTGATTGTCAATGGGGCTCTCTCTTTGGGTGGGGAGAAAGGTGGTTATGCCACAACTCTGCTCCATTTTGAGGGCTGGGGTAACTGTCCAGGGG